TCTTCACTCCACCACCCCTCCTCTACCCACTCCCTTCACCTTGAGGCTAGGGGTGGGTGGGGTGTTTGTGAGTGTGTGTGTATATGCGTATGTGTGTGTGTATGCGTATGTGTGTTGTCGTGCCTCTTTGCACGCACGCGTTCCTCTCTACGAATGTGCACATGAAATTTCCTTTATTAGATTTATTCTTGTTGCATTTTATTTATTTTGTCGATGTTTTTTATTGTTGTTGGTTGGGGTTAGATTTATTAGTTGTATTTTTTATTCACTGCTGTTTTTTGTATGATTAATCGCGCGCGTGTGTGTCGCCATGAAGGTATTTGATGGCAAATCTGTAGCCAAGGCAAGCGGGGGGGGGGGGGGGCATGGGAAAAGACAGACACAGCTGTGGAAGAAAAGAAATAGAAAAGAAAAAAAAAGATACATTGGCATGTCCTGTTAACCCCCCCTCCCCCATTCCACTGACTTAACCCCCCTCCCCCTCCTCTCCCCTTCCGTTCTCCATTCCTTCCCTCCCCTTGCCCCTCCACCTATTCCACAGCCCGACCCCCTCCTACCCTCGCACCTTCCCAACACTCCCTTCCTCCCGTCCCTCCTCCACCCCTATCCTCCGTCCCCATTCCGCTGCCTCCATCCCTCCCTCCCCCCCACCCCTATTCTCCTCCCCCCATTCCGCTGCCCACCTCCCTCCCCTTCCTACCCGTCCCTCCCCCATCCCTTCTCCTGCCCCATTCCACTACCCCCAAACCCCCTCTCATGCCCCCACCCCTTCCTAGCCCAGTCCACTCCCTTCCCTCCCTCATGCCCCCCCACCCCTTCCTAGCCTAGTCCACTACCATTCCCTCTCCCTCTCCACCCCCCCCCCTTTCTCCCCCCCCCCCTCCTCATGCACCGAGACATTCCCGCACTCAAACCAGGCAAGCGTGTCTGTCTGTTTCCCCGTCGATCTCCATACTCCGGCTGCTCTCTCGTTCGCTCATTAAAAAATCAGCAGTGTCGTGTGGCCTGGGCGGTTGGGGGCATTAGGTTCATTTACCCCCCTTTTTGTACTTTTTCGACTTCCCTTGTTTTTTTTGTTTTTTTTTTTCATCCTTTATCTTCGCTTTTCTTTTCTCCCATTCCCTCGTCCGTCCCTCGATATGCTTTTTTTTTCTCTCTCTTCTCCTCGACTCTTGTCTTCCTCCCGCCTTTCCGCCTAATCTACCCTCCGTTCACTTTTCTCCCCCCCCCAACTTCTTGTACTCTTCCTCACCTTTCTCCCCCCTATCTTCTCCCCTCCCTCCCCTACTTTCCCCTCTTTTCCCTTCATCCAAGTGGATGAAAGTATTTTGTATGGTAAAATTGGGTATGATAGGGGGAGGGGGCTTTTTAGCTCCTTTTTTTTGTTTTTTTCTTTTCTTTTTCTTCCACCTCTTTATCATTTACTTCCTTCTCAGCATTCTTATCATCATCATCGCCATTATTATTGTCGTTATCATCCACCTTTCCCCCTCCTCTTCCTCCTCTTTCTTCTTCTCCCTCTCCTCATCATCCTCTTCCCCCTCCCCCCTCTCTCACTCTCCCCACCCCGTCCCCATCCTCCCCTTCCTATCATGATCATTCTCTTCTTCCGGACACCGCTACCCCCAACCCACCCCCTCCCTACGCCTCACATGTATTGAGAATATAATAGCAAATGAATATGACAAAGACATAATCTTTATCTTTGTTCACTCGTCGAGTCGTTTCGGCGAAGTGAGTTTTATCTCTCTTTTCGTTTTTTTTTTCTTCTTAATGATTATATGGTTATTATTTATTTTATTTATTTATTTGTTTATTTATTTATTTACTTTTTTTATAGAGGCGAAAAATGTACTCCGTCAGAGGTAAGGATCCTCCGGCGTCTAACACCGCCCCGTGAGACATAGCAACAGACATGGAATATAACACCCGCCATCTTGGTAACAGAAGCCAGCTCGCAGATGGTGGTGCTGGACTGAAGGGGGCGGGATGGTGGGGAAGGGAAGGGAAGGGAAGGGGAAGGGGGGGGGTATGTGGAGTGGAACGACCTTGAAAGACGCAAGAACTTGGACCTTGGAGGGAGAGCTCGGCTTCCTTCTCTCCTTGACCTTAAAGGAAAAAGGGGGAGGGCTGAGGGGGAAGAGAGCGAGGAGGAGGAGGAGGAGGAGGAGGAGGAGGAGGAGGAGGAGGAGGAGGAGGAGGACGCCAGTGAGGAGGAGGAGGAGAGAAAGGNAAAATACCATATATATATATATATTTATATATATATATATATATATATATATATAATAATATATATATATTATATATAATATATATAATTATATATATATATATATATATATATATGCATATATATGTATATATGCATATATATATAAATATATATATATATATACATATATATGTGTATATATATATATATATATATATATATATATATATATATACATATATATGTGTGTGTGTGTATATATATATATATATATATATATATATATATATAATGTTTTTCTCAGGTTTATTTATTTTTATCATTACACTTCATCATTACCATCGCTAGTAGTGCCAATGCAAATTGTCTCCCAGGTGTCTTAGGAGATCAATGAACATTTCAGAAATTTAAAATGTTCCAGAGAAATGAAATTCCCTCTCGCTGTATCAGGCAACATTTTTTTTTTTTTTTTTTTTTGTATAAAAAAATAGGTATCAAGGATGCAGAAAGAAATGAGAATGAATGGAAAGAATGAGAGGAAAAGAACAAAGATATGATAAGCCGATGCAAAAGTAAACTTTCGCTGTTCTCGCCTGTTTAGACATTCTCTCTTTTCTCTCCTTCAATTTAGACATTATCTTACCTCCAGTGTTTTATATTCTATTTTCTATCATCATTGATTTTTCACTTTACTCAACACACACACACACACACACACGCACGCGCAAGCACACACTAACACACACACACACACGCACTCGCACACACTCACACGCACACACACACGCGCGCGCGCGAACACACACACACACACACACACGCGCGCGCATACACACGCACACACACGCTCACACACGCACACACACCCCCGTCCGCGAGCACACACACACACACACATGTGCGCGCGAGCACACACACACACACAGGTTCCCCCATGAATACCCGAATGTCGTAATACATACCCAGTCAATTCATGCACACACGAACGCCGAAGAAGCAGCCTCTTCAACCGAGTTTCTCACGGGACGACCTCCTCGATCCCTGTTTCGGACTCTGTTTGGAACAGGACCGATCCTCGATCCATGTTCCGGACTTTGTCTGGAACACAAGGGATCCTCGATCCCTGTTTACGACTCTGTCTGGAACACAAGGGATCCTCGATCCCTGTTTACGACTCTGTCTGGAACACAAGGGATCCTCGATCCCTGTTTACGACTCTGTCTGGAACACAGGGGATCCTCGATCCCTGTTTACGACTCTGTTGGAACACAAGGGATCCTCGATCCCTGTTTACGACTCTGTCAACACAGGGATCCTCGATCCCTGTTTACGACTCTGTCTGGAACACAGGGGATCCTCAATCCCTGTTTACGACTCTGTCTGGAACACAAGGGATCCTCGATCCCTGTTTACGACTCTATTTGGAACACAAAGGATCCTCGATCCCTGTTTACGACTCTGTCTGGAACACAGGGGATCCTCGATCCCTGTTTACGACTCTGTCTGGAACACCGCCTCGCGCAGCCCCGCGAACGGCCGCTTCCGCTCAGGCCATCAGCCGCAGCGAACACAGAGCCCAAGCTGCCTTCTAAGGCATCTTAAGGAAAACCGGAGGCAGGAGAGGCCATCAAGCCCGCGATGGAGGCCCTCCTGAAGGAGCTACAGGAGAGCCAGGTGCCCGTATAGACCGAGGCCGACTACTTGGATCGCATGGCCACCTGGCGCTCGTCCTTCCTGGATGAGAGTGACTTCGGTGTGGCCAGCCTGGTGTGGACCGGCCTCGAGCAGCTGGTGGTGAAGCAGATCAAGCGCAAGGACAAGGAGTACTTCGTGCGGGAGGTTCGATCCCTCAGCAAGGGATGGAGGGCTTGTAGCAGGTGGAGGCCGTGGTCCTCGAGGGCGAGCACCTGGTCATCGTCATCCACTACGCCGGAGCCATGTTGAGGAAGTGCACTGAGGAGAAGGTGCTCTCTCCCGCCCAGCTGGAGGACGCCTTCCAGTAGGTACTTGTCGCCCTCCAACACATGCACTCGGCCGGTGTGGCGCACCTGGACCTCCGCAACGAGAACGTGTGAGTGGCCCTCGACAAGAGGCGAGTGCAAGCGACGGTCATAGACTTCGGTCTGGCTCACTTCGACTTCGAGGCGCGGTTCCTCAAGAACGTGGAGGAGTACCTTGACGACCACAACGCAATGGTCGAGGAGTTGCCGGAGCTCTTGTTGGAGGATTGTGTTTCAGAGGTCGAGGCAAAGAACGAGGAGGAAGGAGACTTCGACCGGGAATCCATGCTGGCCTCTGATGAAGCTTAAGAATCCCCTAGGCGGACAACCTCGAAAGTGTTTCCGGGTCCGACTCCGACTCGGAGGAGGAGGTGGATGAAGGTGGTGAACTGGAAAGCGAAATTCCCGCCGAGGAAGGGGAGGAGAACAGCCGCAGGAAGGAAGCTTCAGGTCTCGGCTAAGTGAGGCTTCAGCTTCAGAAGCTCTTTCGAGGAGACAAAGAAATGCGAATGGTGTTTGGAAAAGACGCATGAGATGGGACAAAATAAGATTGATAAAAAAAAAAGGATAAAGAAAAGAAAAAAATATATACATTACATGTGTTAAATAGATGGGTATATATATATGTATATATATATATTATATATATATAATATATATATATATATATTACACACACACACACACACACACACACACACACACACACACACACACATATATATATATATATATATATATATATATATATATATATATATATATATTAGTGTGATCTGTCTAAC